AGAGGACGAGAAGAGAAGAGACACACAGAGAGACGATGGAGAGAGAGAGAGAAGGAGGAGAGAGAACGTAGGGGGGCGGGGAATTTAATCGGTTTAACTCGCTTAATTGATCTCTTCTCTTTTCACCATTGATCGGCAAGCACCACCATTCCTCATAGCGACTCCTCTTACATCATGGGATCGCATCAGAAAAAACCCCCGATTAGGAAAATACCGTCCCATCATTAATTATCGTCATCGTCACCACCATCATCGATCACTTATTCTCATTTTTTCCTTTCGCTAAAAATCTACTTATCCCTCTTCATGTGCACTGGCATAATCGTCATATAATAACAATAAACAACAATAGTAATCATTTAATAATTAATAATAATAATAATAATAATATTTAATAAATAATAATAATAATAATAATAATAATTAATAATAATTAATTAATATAATAATATAATATAATAAAGTAATAATAAAATAATAACAATAATAATAATCAATAATAATAATAATAATAATAAATAATAATAAGAAAACAAAGAGGACGCCATGATAACTATAGCCAAAGAGAAAAGTCAAGAAACTGCATGAGAACCGAAGGAAAGATGCCACGAACGCGACCAGCAGGAGCGGCAGAGAATGAAGAGGTAAAATCGCAGGGGAAAATAAACATACAACGCGCGCGATGCGATAGAGAAGCAAGGAGACCAGCCACTGGCATTACTGATCAGAAGGAAACGAGTGGCTTCATCGCGGACATGGCAGCGCCCGCCGATGGAAGAGGACATGGAGAGGAAAGAGAAAGGGTGGAGAAATGTCAGGACCTGCGGAGGGAAACTGGGAGACTGTGGCAACTGAGGAAGGAGCGGGTTGTCCCTGTGGTTGGAGGCGCCCCTGGAAGCGTGGCACAAGAATCTGACAGGCGGATTGAAAATTTGGGGGCACCGGGCGGTGTCGGAGCTGTACTAAGGACTGCCGTGTTAGGGACTGCAAGGATCCTGACGAAGGGATCAGAGATGTAAGAGGTTTCCTTGGTCTTGGGTTATGACCCGCCGAACAGGAGTAAAGACGGTAATTCCTACAGCCAGAGCATAAGATAATGATAATAATAGTAATTAATATTACTAATAATAAATGAATGAATATATGTATGTATGTATGACTGCATGACAGAACCTAAATCTAAAGCACGACCACTTAAGAGATATAATAAACCGCATGCTTGCAAAGGCATGCAATCCACGCACAGACACATTGAAGGAATTTCAGACGCACCCCCGCGCCCGCACACACACACGCACACGCAGACGACATCGAGGAAAATTATTGAACACAAATCTCCGCCCGAAACAGATGCAAGTTTCAAGAGACGAGGGTCGCAATGCACACAAAAAAAAAAAGGAATTCAATTGTTTTAATGAATAAATTAATAAAAATTAATTTAAAAAAAATTGAGAACATAACTACGTTGGGGAAGAAAAAAAACAAGAAGGAAGAAAGAAGAAGAAAAGGGAAAGAGAGAGAGAGAGAAGAGAGGAGAGGAGAGAGAGAGAGAGAGAGAAGAGAAGAGAGAGAAGAGAGAGAGAGCAGAGAGAGAGAGAGAGAGAGAGAGAGAGAGAGAAAGAGAGAGAGAGAGACGAGCAAAGGAGAAGAAGGACGGAGACAGGAGATGAGAATTGAGAGAGACGAGAAAGTCACCGAGGACGGAGTCCGAGGACGACGAGGAAGAGAGAGAGAGAGAAAGTATATCGAGAAACCAAGCAAAACGGGGATTATCGAAGGTCCGGCGTGAGGCAAACCTTGACACAGCAGCCCAGCATCGCCCCGCACGCGACACGGGGGGGAGGGGGGGGGGCAGGGAACGAGAGGAGAGAGAAGACAGAGGGAGAGAAGGGAGGAGAGGAGGGGAGGGAGGAGAGTTGGAGAGGGAGGGGAGGGGAGCAGGGAGAGGGAGGAGAGGTGAGAAGAGGAGGGGAGGGGAGGGGAGGGGAGGGGAGGGAGAGAGAGAAAGAGAAGGGAGGTGAGAGATGAAGGAGAAAAGGAGAGGAGAGAAAAGGAGAGAAGGGAGAGGAGATGGAGGCGGAAGTGACGTGAGGAGGGGAGAGTGGGGAAAAGGGAGGGAGCGACAGGCGACACAGTAACACAGAGTCCAGGAAGCCATAGAACTTGTGCGTAGGAAGTAGACGAAGAGAATGCAGGGGGATAAAAGAGAGAGAGAAAGGAAGGAGGAAAGGTGAGAGTACACCCAAACGGAATAAAATGGAACAAAACGACCCTCCCTCTCACCCCCCCCCCCCCTCCCTCCCTCCACAAACATTCTTGTCTACCTTTAAAAGAGAAAGTAAATAAACACAGGAACAGGGTTAATAACAACAGCCAAAAAACGGAGGGAGATGCAAGAGGGAAATGAGGAAGAGAGGAAGAAGGGAAGAGAAGTAGCGAGGGATGCAAGAGAGGGGGGGGGGGGAGAACACAGACCCCCAAACGTGAATAGCGGTGGAGGGGGAAAGAGAGGGTGAGAGATAGGGAGGGGGAGCGAGGGCACAACGCAGAGATGCAGAATGTCTTGCAAATACGAGGGGGATGCAACAAGAGCAACAAGAGGGCGACGCCGCTACTTGGTTGAGGGCACAATGGCAGGGTACGGGGGCGGGAGGAGGGGAGGGAGGAGAGAGCGGTGTTACAAGAGCTGAACTGGAGGGAAAAGGGGGGGGGGATAACAAGGCAAGAGAGAGAGGGGGAAGGGTTAAAAGCCAGCACAGGGTTGTCTGAGACCGCGGAGGGCTGAAGCAAAGATGGAGGGGGGCGAGGAGGGGGCTGGCGAGGGGCTGGCGAGGGGGCTGGGAGGAGGGGCTAGCAGTCAGGCCTCAGAGGCAGACACCAACCAGACTGGCGATGCCGCCACACGCAGACACGGGAAGCAGACTGTTACATCGGCCAGTTAAGTCTAGTCAAATGAGAGCGGCAGACAGAGAGGAAATAATTTGAAAAGAGAAGAAGCCCGGGGACAAGAGCAACAGCCGGCGGCAGACATTAAAGAGATGAATGCGATGGGCAGACGAGCCCGGCGAAAAGCGCGGATCAGCCAGGCAAACGAGCGGGGGGAGGGGGGGGCGGGAGAGAGAAGGGGGGGGGGTAGACAAAACTATAAAGGGGGCACTGGGAGTGGGGACGGGAGCAGGGAAAGGCGGAGATCGAGAAACGGGACCTAAGAAAATAACTGATGGGGGAAGAGGGGGGAGGGCCAGGGGGCAGCCAGGCAAACAGGCAGACAGGCGGCAGACAAGGACGATGAAGAGATGAACCAGAACAACACTAGGAGAAGAAGCGGCACTTACACTCGGTGTCGCCAGGGGTCGTCAACGCCTCGAGGGTGCCGCATGTTGGGAGAAACGGACACGTATACACCAACAACCCAATCTTAGGGAGCGGTTCAACAGGGCCTTATAGCATACACAACACCTACGCTTCTTAAACTTCTAAAACTTACGTGTTTTTTTTTCTTCTACCATCTACGTTTCAAAACTTCTCACAGCTACGCGTTTAAACTTCTAACACCTAGGCTTTTAAACTCCCATCGTCCCGGCGTCTCGATACCATCTCGATACTACATCAGAGACAAAAATAAACCTACAAACACTGAGTGGCCGAGAACACTTCCTCTGAATAGTGCATGATAAAAGGGAGACCACAGCACAGGCAGTGGGGGCTCTCCTCCCCACTACAAGGCTACCTACTAACCCTAATTCTTCCGTCGGTTCAGCGCGGGAGTCCGAGGTTTCCAGCCACTGAAACCCACGAAGGAAACCTCCGCGCCAACCACTTAATGCTACGGTGTCTCGGCTTACCAGACAAGTCCTTAAAATTAAGCCTTTACATGCTATGACTTAGTCTAAGGAATAATTAACACGATTAGGTGGATTAATACTAAAATTTGCTTGATTACAAACACTTAATTAGATAATTATCAAAGAGCGAGTATTATGTTCATTTCTTAGTGACTACATTTCTCTCTCTCTCTCTCTCTCTCTCTCTCTCTCTCTCTCTCTCTCTCTCTCTCTCTCTCTCTCTCTCTCTCTCTCTCTCTCTCTCTCTCTCTCCTCTCTCTCTCTCTCTCTCTCCAACGTATTTTTAGCCCTAGAAACGTGGATACTTATCGTGCCATTATAAATATACAGAGATAACATGATAAATCAAGGATGTGATATACTGTATATATGCATATATACATAAATATACATATATATACACACACATAAATGTACATAAACACACACACACACACACACACAGCCCAATGTATCACCCGGCTGTCGGCACCATTCGCAACTGACATGACTATTCCTACCGAATTATAAGAGAATCTAAACCGCCGTTACGGCGCTCCAGCCCCAACGCGATCGAGCTCACTCCCACTGGCGACCTGCCTCCCCGCCGACCCTCCAGCGGCCACCGGGGGGCTTGTTTATTTCACTTATTTAACTTACCATCCATCCTCTGCCGTGAAATCAGGTGTGGGGAGGGGAGGAGAGGAGAGGAGAGGGAGAGGAGAGAGAGGAAGAGAGGAGAGAGGAGAGGGAGAGGAGGGGGAGGGAGAGGGAGAGGGAGAGAGAGGAGAAGAGAGAGGGAGAGAGAGGAAGAGAGAGAGAGAGAGGAGAGAGAGAGACAAAGATAAAGGAGAGAGGAGGGAGGAGAAGAAGAATGGGTGAGAGGGAGGGCGAAGGGGGTTGCAATCGATGCAGTCGAAGGCCTCCGCTCGAGTGGGCGCTGGGGGCCGCGCACCCTTGGCGAGGCCGTGGGCTGGACTGGTGGCCCTACCCTGGCGGCAAGTGTCCTAATGGGCGCGGTCCGATCACTGTGCCTTGATGAGGTCTAAATTCATTTTGATGAGCTGTACTTTCATTTTCATGAGATTTACATTCGTTTAGATGAGTCTGTCATTCATTTACGTTCATTTTGATGAGTTTTACTTTCATGTTACTCCCTTTGATGAGTTTAGCACTGTCTTTACGCCCCCTTCCTTCAAGCGAGAGACATTTCCCCCTTTCATCCGAAAATGACAGCCCGACCGGCGAGGGATTAGCCTCAAGTGACGCAGCGACACTGATGCATTGTGACTGACGCCGCCGGAGAGGGATAAGCCCAGCCCGGCGGCAAATGACAGTCATGCACGATGCAACAGGAAGTGACAGCTCCCTGGCCAGATACAGACAGACGCACAGACACACAAGACAGACTGACGGACAGACGGATGGACAGCCGGCCGGAACCAGGCCTCCGCCACTATCCCCCCTCCCCCCATCTCCTCCTCTCTCCTCCTCCTCCTCCCTCCTCCACCACCACCTCCTCCACCTCCACTCCACCACCACCACCACCACCACTCCACCTCCTCCACCTCCTACTCCACCACCACACCACCACCACCTCCACCTCGTGCAAAATACCTGAGCCGCTCTGGTGCCTCCCAGCCGATGACTCACCTGCGAACAGAAAAGGATGGGATTAGCGTCTCGAAGCAGCGCGGGGAGGGTCCGCCGGATCCCCTCGGACGGAACTCTCCCTATTTGCTCATTTTCCGACTGGCTGAGACGGTCCGGATGACTTCTACTCTTCGGCACAATATATATAGACATATACACTCATTTACATGATTGGTGGACATAGTTCTGTCTCTGTGTGTGTGTGTGTGTGTGTGTGTCGTGTGTGTGTGTGTGTGTGTTGTGTGTGTGTGTGTGTGTGTGTGTGTGTGTGTGTGTGTTGTGTGTGTGTGTGCTCGTGCGAGTGTGTAAGTGTACATGTACGTGCGCGTCTGCATGTACGTCTACGTGTAGGTGTGTGCGTTCGTGCGAGTGCGTCTGCATGTACATCTGCGTGTACGTCTACGTGTGTGTGAGTGTATGTGCGTGTCTGTATGCACACGTGCGTGTGCGCGTGCGCGCAATCCAGCTCGACCCCGCAGCGCCGCGCTCCACTTCCCGCCGCCGCCACCCGAACCAAATCCCGGACCCGAACCCAAGCAGCAACCCTCAGCCACACAAAAACAAACAAACGAAAAAATAAATAGAAAACCGAAGGCGAGGCGAGCGAGGCGGCAAAGGCCCACGACGTTTTCTCTTGCGGTTGAACATGCTGAGTCATACTCGAGATGCTACGATGGAGGTCAAGAAAGAGACTCGAGATCTCTTCTCTTCGTTCTCCTGACCTTTAGCGTCTCATAGAATTACAACATATACGAAACAACAAACAATTTAATATTAATTCATATAATAAAGAATTAGATAATAAAAATCGCTTATTCTCTAAGTGTATCATTAAACAGCCTTTTCATTCACAGAAATCCATCCGTCAGAGTCCACGCAATCTGCCCATTCCTCTCTCCAGTCGACCTCTCTC